GAGGCACTTGACGAAGCCCACAGATGGTCTGTCTCCAATGATATGGAATTCAACGTTACCACATGTAAAGTTTTATCACCAGGTCACAATATTCGTTTTTTCTACACTCTCGGACACGAAACTCTGCCTCATGCTCCATCCGAGAAGAATCTGGGATTAGTCATTCGCGCAGACTTGAGAGGCTCTACAAACTGTTCGAGGGCATCATCCATGGCGGTTGGACTGCTCAAACGTGTTTTTTTGGATCGTTTGAGCCGGCTTTGTTTCCGCGTCTGTTAGCCACATACATTCGTCCGTACACCAAGTACTCAATTCAGACCTGCAGCCCATGGCTGCAACGAGATCGGAAGGCGCTCGGATATCCGTAGAGAATGGCTAGCAAGATGGTCAAAAGTCTACATTCCAAGACCTATGACGAAAGATTATAGCTATTGGGGCTATACTCGTCTCAATTTCGTCAGATCAGAGGTGATATGATCTTACTGTACAATCTCTCTCTACTCTACAATCTTACGTGGTCTGTGTGCCAACATTAGTATCTTTCAGGTGTCAGCTTCATGATGCTCTGGCAAACATTATGTTTCAAAACCCAACTACATAATATATTCTCCTGTGCTCGTCATAAACATGGTATTACTCTTTTGCGAACATGGTCTAACCGTGATCTTGTGAATCGTGTTCCGAACCCAAAGAGCAAGCATCCTATGGGCTTTGATAAACGAAGTCTTTGTAAGTTTTTTCCATAATATAAATTCAAGTTTGAATTTAAATTTGGATTCAGTGTTGATAAACACATTGAGAGATCCACATCAACGAAAGGAATAAATCGATTTTATTCAGGACGCAGAACATAGTGTCACTATTATTACTCATATTAGTAATTGAGCAATACATTAATTGGGGATTTTGTGTATTTATCACCGTGGTTTTTCGTGAAATGAGATTCAGCTTCCAATTCAGTCCCCGAGACAATGTGTAAAATAGTGGGTTTAACTTGTGTGCACACAAACGGACAGACAGACAGAGAGACAAATAGAGGAAGATATCTCTTTAGAGAGCCACAAAAAAATCTATTATCTACTTCTGCTGGCGTAGTTGCTCAAACAGTGAAGCTGGCCAGCAATTTGTTTTCTGTCGGAGGTGAAGGGAAAACCCTGGATCTACCTCGTGATTTCTCATATCGGATCATTTCGGAACGCAATGATGAACCCCAGTGCAGAAAACAGAAAACTTTGGAGTTGAAACCTATGTTTGAGATCAATCGTGCATGAACTGGTATACATAACTAGCATCGGATGAGACGTACCAATGCGGTCGGATCCACTGCCAAATTACACGTGTTCCCTTTGTCTCCAAACAACGAGAATGATCCAACCGATCCCATGGGGGATGCATTCTGCTGTTGTGTGCTCTCCGTACACTGAACGGCTTGTGAAAATTGTGGTAGTTGATGCGCCAAAGTCAAACATTTGAGCACACAATCGAATGCGGGCAAACAAATGAAAGTCGGTGTGGTATCGTCTGTCAGATATTGTTGACAATTGTGAAGCCACAGCGCAGAACGTTCCGCATTGAACAGAGCCCGAATTTGGGCGCAGTTGAGGAAATGTGAATCCGGAATACAATCCGAATTGTTGCCCAGTTTACGTTGCATGTCCACGGTGATTTGTGTAAGACTGTCGCTCAGATTACGCTCATCCATGGACAGAAAACGACGATCGTATTGGATGAACTCTTCCAGTGAGGCTCGAAGCATTTTGAGGCAACCATAACTCATCAGAGTTGGTGGTTGAACCAGATGCATGGCCAAAAATTCCATGAACAGATTGGAATCGAACCAGCGAAATAGTCGACCGATTTCTGAAAATGCCTGCAGGAGAGAATTTACAAGTGAATATATTGAATCTAGAATTAGAAATTTTCAGTTTTTAACATGCTATCACAATTGGTAACACCGTAATCAGTTTTATCCAATTCTTTACAAACACACGTACAAATGCAACACCTTGGTGTGTGGGAACGGAGGTATTAGTGTTTAAAATCTTCCCATGTTAAACATTATCTCAAAAAATTATACTGAAGTAACCAAATTGAGAATTTTGATGAGCTGCTAGTGATGTTTTATTCGATGCCATAGAAACGAGTACACGAATCCTGAACAAATGTAGATTTGCTCATAACGGTATGCTTTACTGCCCAGGTTTTATGAATCATAAGCAGACAATTTGAGACAATTTGAAATTTGATTGATTTGACGTACTATCCTTCGGACTTCATCTTCACGCACAATCTTCAGCTCATCGATTCAACCAAACAATCGGAAGCAATAGACTCGAGCTTCTCTTCTATCAAAGCTCCTCAGTAGTGCAAATCCACCTTCCCGTCCGGGATTTGAAATACGGACCCATAGCACGGAAGGCATGTGATTTACCACTGCGCCAACCTGCTCATACCATGCCCGAATCAAATTACCAATTCAGGTTTGTTCAGGTGTCATCTTCAGTGAACAAACAAATTCGAGTCTAGTGTTTCCAAGTGCATGGTCGAATCGATGAGCTGAGGATTGTGCGTGAAGGTGAATTCCGAAGGACAGTCAGTCATATCAGTGAACATCAATTATCCCACACACTACCCACAAGTAACTGTGAGTTAAATGCGAATATCAATCAAGCCTTGAAGGTATCTGGCATGTCAACCCGTAACCTGCACGGAAGTCCTGACTTGGTGGGATGCTTTCGATCGGAGTTAGCACGTTGTCATTTATGTCTCCCTTCTTTGCTGTTCGACCAAACGAAGTGAACGACTATCATTGAAGACAACACCTGAACAAGCATGAATTGGCAATTTAGTTAAACCATGGTATGGCCTGGTTCTCACATTGGTACTACACACACGCCTTCCATGTGCAGGGTTCAGAATTCAAATCCCGGACGGGAATGCGAATATGCACTATTAATGAGCACTAATAAGAGCGAAACGCGAGTCTATACCTTTTCAACTTCAAGTGAATCCGCCGTAACCTCAAGTGAATCCAATCAATCGCACTCGTTTGGGAATCCCACAAAATTATTGGTGTTTCGGAAGTCAAATGTCACCAATCGGACCGGATCTGTCTAAACCCCGTCCAGTTCGAATGAACTAACCTCTCCATGAATAAACAAAAGTAATTTTGTGTGGCATACCGAGCGAGGATGAATGTTTCGGTGGGGTGAGGGAGGCCATTCTGCCCCCCCCCCCCCCCACACACACACACAAACACACCCGTACCAGCGTGATCGTTGATCTAGTGTGTCAGATACGAATTAACGAACCCGGAGTTAATTGGCCTCTGTCAGTCGGTTGGGTAAGGAAGCGAATCACGTCAAGATAGATCGATAAGTCGGTCACCATGCTCAGACGTGAATGTGAGCATGATTCATTGCATGAGTGGAGTCAGTTTAAGCCGTCAATAACCCAATGAGCAAATTTCACTGCGGCCGAGTTTTTCTCGAACAAAACCGATTCCTATGAATCAAATGCGATTGCTTGGCTGTTTCTAACATTGAAATGCACATAGGACAAGATACTTAACAATGGTAACAATGATGAAAGAAGCAGCAGTATTTATTAAGTATTTAGAAGTATTTAGTAAGATCAAATTCGAACCTATTCACCAGCTAACAGAAATCATATATTTCTCTGTCATTTCCTGGCTGATTAATACATTCAATCCACAATGCCAATGGCAACAATCTATTGCCTGCGGGTTTTCCTTCGCTACTCAGCTTCTTATCTTTATTGAATCATTGCTCAACCCGTCGCATCTTTTCACATACTGGTTACATCTGTGCGATCATTTATAGTTTAGTGAATGAGATAGGTGGTGTTATGTATGAGTTACAGTTATCCATGATCCCACAAGCGTTGATAACTCTGTACTTCATAGGGTATTAATTAGCGGTTAGTAAAATATTCTACCCACGGTTGACTAAATACTGAATGTCGAATAAGAGAAAAGGTTCAGTGGCACCGCCACTTTGCAGTATTCTTCCCGTATGTGTTTCCACGAAAGATTGTGTAATGGAGCTACCTATTCTACAAGTGGTAAGCAGTGACATTTTTCTACTCTGAACTGAGTTGGGTGGTTGTGTAGACATTGCACATTATTACTCAACTTCTCTGTAGTCACTGATCTCTTTCGGATTATATTCATTCCGTTCTGAACTAGTCTAGTTTGTAGAGAATAAGGCTTTTTCACAGATAAACTTTCCGGGCTTCAGTTTAGCGGTTTAAGACGGTTGATTTGTTCGCATGATTACCGAAAACTCAAACTTCATGCGTACAGCCGAATCAAATGTGTTTTGTCATCTTTCCGTCAGTCAATCTTGCGGTGATTAATAACTGTGAGCTGATTTTAACGAACAGCGAAAGATCGAAACAGAATGGTCGGCTTTCCGCACAGACGATTCAGGAAGTGTGTGAATTGACCTGTTAGTTGTGATCACCCACTGCCGTCTGACACGGTTTAATCGAATGGCAGCTGAATTTTTTCTCAACAATGTATTTCCAGCCTAGTGAATCACCGGGTGTAACACGAACAGATTATTAGGTATCGTGTCATATCAGTTAGAACTGAGTGGAAACTTTACTATTACCATGGCCATATGACTGATTGACCTATGTGACCCCTTTTACATTCTCCCCATTTCCTCATTTACTGTCTTCTTCCCACCTGTTTTGTTCCTTCTTGTCTAACATTCCTCATATCGTGTCCACTTCACACATGTTACCTGCCTTTGGTCTATCCATTTATCCTGATCCAATAGCTTGTTGTCCACTGAACATTTTGCACACATTCATTCACTACCAGCTTAAGTGAATAAAGCGGAGTATGGCAGACGATAGCTGGGCATACGCAATACATGCCCCAGCCAGCGAAGTCCGAATTCGATGAGCTAGCGGGTTTATCCCTGATAAACACCCAAACACATAGTGGATTACATCCAGAATACTCGTTCGCTCCACCCCGCTTGGGAAAAACTAGGTAAACACTGACAATCGAATTGGAGGCCACTTGGTACGTTCTCCAGAATTACGTCTACGAAAAAACTGAATAGAAATCGCGAACTAGGGTACCCTTGACTCGCGCCGCTGCTGATGACGAACCGCCTACTTAGTTCGTTGTAGTCCCTCACTCTGCCTGTATCGACTTGATTGGAAAAATTAATCACGCCACAGATTTTGCTCCGGTTCGGTGCGATTAACTGTGCACCCATGTGAACCATTACACAGATGACCTTTGACATTTGCCCATCATCTTGCCCCGATTTGGTCCGACGACATACTTTGTACGTTGTTGTTATTGTTCTCATACCGCCTCTGAGCGTTCCTCGTCCCACTCATTTGTGCGTCATCTACGCTTATCGCCCTTGAACTCTCTCTGTCCCACGTTTGCCATTGTCGTACGTCATTACATACGAACTACCCTGGATCNCCCCCCCCCCCACGTTTGGTTCTAGGTCATTCACTTCACTCGTTTAGCGGACTGCTTTGTTCCATATGATCCCGTGAACTGTTTGTGTCTTGCATTGACCAATGATTGCGCTTCATTATCGATCACTTGCGACTGGTGTTTCTATCCCTTAAGTTGCCCCTTTTCGAAGCCTAGTTGGCATTCCTTTTGGTGACCGCACCGCAGGTGCTTTGTTCTGCGCCTTGATCTGCATTATATCTTGTTCTGTACCCTGGAGACTGGATTGGCCCACAATTTGAGGTATGGTGTTTGTTTTTGTACATATTTGTATGCTTATAGTAGATTACCGACTTCTCGTTATCTGGAATCGGACTTGGGGTTCCTTTAAGGCCAGTCCTATTTGATTACATTCAAAAATTCATTAAATACCAAAAACAACAAACTATCTTACCGTATAATGAGAAGAAAGGAAATGTAATATAACGATGTGTTCAACATTGGCAATGGTACGGGGCACTTAGACATGAAATTATAGGGATTGATGAAACCAACTCCAATAAAGAAGTTCAAGAAATTTTGGATGCTCACCAAGAAGTCAACGGTGTCGAGTACTATTTCAAAATGAAGAAATCTTCACATAATACGTGCTACGAATGTTGATGGGTTGTTGAACTACATCTTTAAAAGAGGATCCCATAACTTCACATTGTGTTTTCAATAGATTTGATAGTTAGTTCGTTGTTTCAATCACTGAACGGTTTGTGAGTAGGAGATATAAGTCAGAAAGTTCTACCACTGTTATTGTCACTATGTCGAGTACTTCTGGAAATTTCGTAGAATTTTGAGCACATTTACAATTACAGTAGGCTGGTTTTACATGCGGCGTCTCTGAATAATTTCATAAAGAAGTAGGCCCTCGGTAGGCACTGTTTTTTGTGGCACGTGGTGATTAAAGACAAATCAAGGCAGGCAGTTCGTGCATTGGTAAAACCAAACGATCATGCAAAACCCGTAGACTAGGTTAGACAGGTCAACGGTATGCATTTTGTTGAGGTGCAAATGATAAAAACTATCAACCATTGAAGTTTATCCCAGTTTAGCCAAAGTAATCAACAAAAGTTGGATTTATTTTCATTTCGAATAAAGGAGCAGTTATCTTTGATCCCAGTGGCGAATAATTCGAGGGAGAAACTAACGGCAATAGTTAATCCCATCATCTTATGCATCCTGAGTATCTTGTCATATGTGCATTTCAATGTTAGAAACAGCCAAGCAATCGCATTTGATTCATAGGAATCGGTTTTATTCGAGAAAAACTCGGCCGCAGTGGAATTTGCTCATTGGGTTATTGACGGCTTAAACTGACTCCACTCATGCAATGAATCATGCTCACATTCACGTCTGAGCATGGTGATCGACTTATCGGTCTATCTTGACGTGATTCGCTTCCTTACCCGACCTACAGAGGTTCATTCATTCGTATCTATGACGCACAAAAGGTATAGTGCTTCCGGGTGTATGGTTGTATCGATGATCTGAAGATTGTGGGTGAAGGTGAAGTGCGAAAGATAGTAAATCAAATCAACAAATATCAATTATCCCACACACACTACTCACAAGTAACTGTGAGTTAAATGCGAATTTGAAATTACTTGAAAGTTGATAGAACTGAACTCAACACAGAACACTGCGTTCTGCGTAATCCAGTATAGAGTGGTGACCTAGAGAACGCGGACTGCCAAAGAAACACATCGAGTGTGCATTCAACATAAAAAGACGTCTGTTCAAATACAGGCACAAAATAGATTCCCGACGCCAGGGAACCTGTTTAATCGTGGGTTTCCGCGAGTGTGTGATCAACGCAGATTGGGAGCATGATTTACACACACCGATTATTGTCCCTTGTTCTCAATCTGTTCCACTCGATTCGCCGTTAAAATGGTGCGGATGGGGGGGAGGTTGAGAATGGGAGGGGTTGGTCCATTCGTCTTGATTGCGGTTTCGTTCCGTTCTCAGGTGGAGAAGAACACCTATGTAAACCAACGGATGATATAAGCAGAACACTGGCACATCACAAGCACTGATGATGTCACCTCGGCTGGTGATGAAATATTTGCAATTAAATTGACAAGCTCGTTGAAGAGGCTAAATGGAAGGCTAAAGGGGGTAGCGGTAGGAGTAGCACCTCTAACCCGTTGGGCTGTCGGCCTCTTTGGGGCATCCTCGTTCTTTGGTCTCCACCGGGTGCTCAACTCTCATCTGTGGCTCCCAGAAGCTGTTTTGATGCAAAAGCGGCCACAGTCCGGTAAACTGCTCCACAGGCAGGCTAAACCAGGTTGAGGGTTACCGGGAGCTCAACTCCCGGTGAGTTGGTGTCTAACGTACGTGTTGTGCTAACGAAGTCGGTTCCACGACTCAGCGGCCGAGACACCAAGGATGCATGGACCCCTATTTAGCTAGCACCTGTCACTGGCGTATGAGCTCCTCACAAAGGACCACCGGCAACCATGCACTTCCTTCCTGCTGCCTTGCAGTTAGCACTTGGATGTGCAAGGGCTAGAGATGCCAACTTGACCCAAAGCCGGGTGACGCTGGGGACGTTTCCTATATCTAACTCCCAAGAAATCTCATGTATATTCACTCAACCTGACTTGGTAATCATGCTACGGTGTTCCCGGGAAGCGACGCATCCTGAGCTCCTCCAGTGGCCCAGGTGACAAGTATGCGCACTGGACACCTCAAACTAGGCAAAACTTCTTACATTGGACGCTGGAACGTAAGAACACTCTTAGATGCCGGGAGTCAGGCACTAACGATACACGCGCTGCATGACTATCAGCTGGATATTACATGCCTCTCAGAAGTCAAATTGGCGGACTCCCCGGTATCGATAGCCATTAATGACTGCATCACAGCGGCAACGAAACGTCGGGTCAACACGGAATAGCACTTACTTTAAGCCATCGGGCTAATGGTGTTTTACTTTCCTGTGAACCAATATACTCTAGGATTGCAGTAGCACGATTCAAAGATCATCCAGTAAACCTCACAGTAATCGCTGTCTACGCCCCGACTGTCCCATCTGACAACAACGTCAAGGATGGCAGCCTTCAATCGCTTGTTATTGAAATACCCAAACGCGATGTACTTGTCATAGCAGGGGACTGGAACGCTCGAAGCGGTCCTTAAGCAGAAGCCACGAAGCACATCATAGGGAGTTTTGGCCTGGGTTAGTGCTGCGAGGATGGCGACAGACTACTCAGCCTCGCCGATTATAATCGATTCTGTATTATCAAAATGCGGTTTCAACATCCAGAAAAGCATCTTCTATCGTGGTACTCCAACGGCGGCCGAACAGAACATCAAATAGATTACGTTCTCATTCGTTCATTATGGAGTTCTTTGATTACATACTGTCGACCCTATTGCGGGGCTGAATGTGGGAACAAAGCAGTTCTGATCACATACTAGTTCGCGCAAAAGTTAGACTCCATCTAACAACTCGCAGGAAAACCGTCCCCTCCAAACGCCTGAAGGTGCTTCCACTGGAGAACAGGGAGAAATTCCAGACATTAATGGGCATGATAACTGCACAGCTGTCAAACGATACCCAAAGAATTACAGGGAGCTCTGTTGAAACTCAGTGGACCAGGATGAAGTCGTCGGAACAACAAGCTGTTCTACACGCACTAGGCGCTAAATCACGTCGTCTGAAGGAATGGATATCCGGCCACGCCATCCAGTTATCTAATGCGGCCAGGAAGGCCCACCTAGCTCAATCCTCTGCTTATCGCGATCTCAGATGACAAGCAACACGATCAGCCAGAAATGATAGATGCAACTACCGGAATGAATTGGCTACAAAAAATGGAGACAGCAGCCAACCTGGGCAACAAGGCGACCTCCGGTGCCTCCAGTGAGCTCATTTCTGATGCGCAGGGAAAAATGTCTCGATAGGTGGAATACTTTAGTTTTCTTCTCAATCGCCCTCAAATCCAACTTCCGTAGGCACC